ACATTTAAATTCTCACAGTACATCATGGACTTAGATTCCAGCACTGGCCAATAAGGTTTAATCAGTGAGTAAAAAGTAAGGCATCTGACATGCTGATGGAAAGAAAGAGACCTGAAACTCCTTGCTTTTCCATTGTCACCCACCCCACTCCATCACAGAAGAACCACTTCTGAAAGGCCTTACAACTGGCAATCTAGGAGAAAACTATCCCACCTGGACCACAGAGCTCAGCTATCCTCAAGGAAAAGTCCTAAGCAAACTCAGGATGTTAATTTCCTATTGTGCGATGCCATTAAACTGTCATGAAGTTGTCTTGTCCACCTCCTCCACCACATTAAGGCACTGTTCATTAAAAGTAAAGTTATGCCTCTTTACCCACAAACCAACCTCTTAGGAACTTCTACATGACCATGCCTGCAAATACAAACTTTTATTTTGCTACATGAAAATATTGTACTCAAGTTCCACAAAGAATACCACCACACCACTTTCATTTTAGGTTGTTTTCCAACAAGACATCTGTTGTAATCCATTTTTTTTTAGCCCAGCCCAAAACTGTAGGAGGCAACCAATTCCATTGTGTACCCAACTATTGCCTCTTAAACCAGTCTCTAGCAAAGCAGGTATCTGCGGTTTTAATCTGACTCTCACCATCACTTAATAATCTGAGGTACATTTACAGATTAACATACTATAGTGATTGCATGAGTAAGTCATGTCTGGTTGCAAATTGTGCCGAACACTTTTGAAATATATCCAAGAATAATGGTCTCTTTATTGTAAGAACACCCTTCCATAATGAATGTCACATGACAATCCCCTCCCACCCCGTTCTTCTCTCCTTCTCTCTTCCTCCTTCCCTGTCTCCCTTCCCCTTCCCCTCAAAGATAGGAGGTAAATCATAAATAGCCCACTGGCCAGACATTCCCTCTGACACAACTGAGACAGTGCTGTTCCTTCAAGGTTTGGGGACAGCAGATCGTTCTGGAGTTGAATGCCCCATGTTAGACTGGTGTCAGCCCCTTGGCATACGCCACGCTCCTCACATAGCTTGGCATTTTAAGACTCACCCTGTCAGGAATGAACTACTCGCTCCTAGCCCAGTCAGGCGTCAGGCCTACCCGGTTCCATGAGAAAAAAAAAAGTTGGAGGAAAAGAAATAATTGTTTTCTTTGAAGGATCAGTATGGTTGATTATTCTGAACTATTGTAACTTTTTGGAGCACATATGATAACAGCCCAAATGATTATTTTTACTCAAAACACATTTAAAAATACTAAAAGCAAAACTATTGACTAGAATGTTTCTATGAAAAAAAACCCTCTTTTTTCTGACAAGGTTTATTTCTTCCAGCCAAACATATTTAAGCTGCTTCAAAGTCTCATGAGATAGTAATTAGTATACCTAGGACCCGTGGGGATCAGGAAATTGCGAAGGAAAACAACCTTAGATTATGATGGCCATTTGCTTCACCGTATAAATGAGAAAATAAGCAGAATAAAGAAGGAGGCTGCCTCGCCATGAAGTAAGTTTTGACCGGAAACTGGGTGCTCTGATTCCCAATCAATACTTCTTAACATCACTCTCTTCTAAGACCACAAAAAAGTACATTAAAAGTTACCTTTGATAACAATAACATAAAGAATTTTTCTTCTCAAACAGGGATTCAGCAGAATCTTAACTCCACATATGTAAATATCACAGTCAATCATCCTTTTTTGGAGGAGGATACTGAGGATCAAACTTGGGTCCTTGCACTTGCAAGGCAGGCAGCAGAACCACTGAGCTAAATCCATGACCCTAAATCATCTTTTTGTAAAAGTGAAGTTGGAGGAATCCCTCTTTATATAATTCCTAAGTGTGGAATACTGAGCATTAAGTCAAAAATTAAGTCAAATAAGCATTAAGTCAAAAAATTAATTAGATGATAATGTCCATTATTAAATAATATTTGATACTTTTGTCATCCAGGCAACAAAAATTTAATGGCATACCTACAATTTTCATTCTAAGAGAAACCATCTAGTTTGGGGGGGGGTTTGTTTTGTTTTGTTTTTTGCAGTACTGGGGATCAAACTCAGGGCCCTTGCTCTTTTGTGAGGCAGGCACAGTGCCATGAGCTAAATTCCAGTTTTTTTAAAATAGCGATCTTACTGTCAGTCAAGTAGTATCTATAGCAGTCCCTACCCAGAAGTAAGTGTAACGTAAAGGCTATGCTAAAAAACCACCAAGAATTAAGATGTGTTATGTACATGTACTAACTGCCTGTAATGAATATAATCATTTGTACTACAAACACGTACTGATAAAAAATTAATAAAAGCAAATAAAAACCACCAAGATCTGGGCTATTCACAGACTGAGCCGTAAAAGCCATTGACCCTAGGCCGCTCCATTTTTAGCCAGCCATGCTGGGCTCCCATACTGCTATCCATATGCTGCTGTAAGCGGCATGTTCTGGCCACTAGTGCCTCTGCTGTCAACACCCCAACAGCAGGAGTGAAAATGAAAAGACAGGGCTGTTCAACTGGGCAAAGCCCAACTCAGTCAACTCACTAGTATTTTTCTGTATAGAGAAAAACACACGAGACTGAGAAGGCATTCAAATCTATAATTTTAGCCTCAACAAAGGCACTACTGGCATCACTTAATGGAAAATAAAGATCCTGGGTAATCATATTATTCCCTAATACGTTCTCAGCTTCTAAATAAATAACAATAGAAGCGTAAAACAAATAAAATCTTTAGGGAATTATTCCTATTGCAAAAGCATTTCATTTTATAAAGGGATTCACAGCAGGCAGGCTTAAATAATGTTGACCATTACAGAACACTGCAAAAGAAAATGATTTGTGCCTGTGTTCAAAGTGCTTAAAGTGAGCTGTACCTCTAATAATATTGGTTGGTACAGCTACACCGACTCAGGCCCATGATGACCACTACTGAGATGAGGCCACAGGCTGGAGCCTAGAACGTGTCACTGCGGTTTGAGAAAGGAAATACAGAATTTCTAACTCTGGATACAACTGTACCCTGAGATTTTCAGAGGATGGAGGGTCTTAATAGTTAAAGTAGAGCTATCACGACTATGGGAAGAAACAATGTAGACACTCTTCCAAAAGTCAGGAGCACTAGGCTGCATAGGTGCCCTATTAGATTACTACTTTGAGCATTAATCATCAACTTTCATTTCCCATACAAGACATTAAATCTCTTCTATTTGGCTCAAGAGCCTGAAAGAAACCGATTCTCTGCATATCAGCGGGAGGACGTCTGCTATGCCTAAGAGTCAAGAACAAGTCAAGTCGCAGGATCATGCAAAGGAAGAAAAACGAACTTGCAGTTCTCAACCATTACATCAGTGTTGTGTTTTGTGTTTGTTTTTGTTAAGACAGAGCAAGTCTATACGGGTTCTTACAATTTTTTTTTCCAGCCCAATGAACAGCCTGGCATCAGCATGGAGAGGAATGTCAGAAAAATGACATTCTGCATAGAATCCTCCATAGAATACTCTCTAGAGAGTTCTCCAGCTGCTATGCTTTTGTTCTTCAAAAGACTGAGGACTGCCTTCAAATGCATTAGCTATCTGAAGCGCAAAGAGCCAGAATTTATCAGGCAGACTTATCAGATACTACCATTCCGCATGTGATCTGTGCTACATGTTAACGCAAAGCAACCTGCTGTTCCTGAGAGAGCTCTTGTCTTTGGAGAGACTGCAAGACGAGACAAGACTTCTTTATTTTCTTTAAGTAAACATTTGTTCTAGAGCATCTCCAAACCTGCAAACACACCCACTTTCTCACTGTCAGCGATGGGTACGATAAATGACATATTTGTATTGGATCTCAATCATTTTAAAATGTCTTTTAGTCTATGCCTTTATGCATGTCAATTTCAGTATTCAGTTGACTCAGATCTTCAGCAACAATACTGTCTGCAGAAAAACACACCTTCCTTAAACAAAGGGTACTTTTTGTTCCCCTGAGCTTGTGGCTGTTCCGGCAACAAATGATACAAAAGATATATTCTGCCATCTCCAATAGTAATAGTAAGCTATAGAAACAGCAAACAAGATAGTAAGAGTGAACGCTTAAGAAACAAAACAAAGGCGAGTGGGGGGTAAGAAGCAGGGTGGAGGGGAAGTGCTCATTCGTGGGTTTTATTTTGCGGCTCTGGGGATCGAACTCAGTATCACAAGTGCTAGGCAAGAGCTCCCCTACTCGGCAACATCCCCAAACCTGGGGGTGTGAATTTGTGATTTAAGAAATTCAGCCTTTCCTGATGAACGTGGAGGGAGGAGGAAAAAAAAAGGGGAAGGTGATGTTTTCAGTTAAGAAAAAGACAGAAGTCTATACCGATGTCTCGGTTTTGTTTCAATACTGAAGCATCCGGAGGACGCAGGGTAGGCAAAATCTAGTTTAGATTAACGCTGGCTCAATGAAAGTGACACAAGTTTGTTCCGGATACAACGGAGATACCTAACCAAACTGAGGAATCGCATCAAAAATTATGACAAATCTTTAAGTGTGTTCTCACACCCAAAATAAGTTTGAATATTCACAGGGCACAACTACCTATTTCACAGGATGTGCAGCCACCCTATCCTAACCTCATTTTTAAAAAACCGCTAAGGGCTACGGACGTGGAGTGCTACTGTCAACTATTTCCCAAGACTGCGGGCCTGACACTCAGAGTGACGACGAGAAACCAAATAGCGACCAAAAGCCCCGAGTCCCCGGTGAATTCTTCTGCAGACAGTCCCAACGATCCGTACGCCGGGGTGTGCAGGCCAGAAGCGCGCGTGGCTGCTCCTTACTCCGGCTTGGGGAGGGCGCTCACCAGCCCCTCCCCCAACACAAAGGTTGGGAGTTGTGAGCGCGAGCGCGGGAGGCGCGGGGGCGTGCGCCACAGAGCACGCGTGTGCGTGTGCGCGGGAGTGTGTGTGTGTGCGTGCGTGTGTGTGCGCGCAGGGGGAGGGGAGGTGCTCCAGCCCCTCTTACCTCTCAAAGATAAGCCGCACCATGAAGATGCAGAAGGCCAGGGGGAAGGCGAGATAGAGGTCCTCAGCCTGCGGGAAGGTGGCTTCCTCCGTGTTCTTCAGGTCTGCCCAGGTGACATTGTGCGGGAGCCAGAACCTCTCGTTCCAGAACCAGGCTAAGATCCCTGCCATCTTGCTTTGTCCACTCCTGTCCTGTGGCTCTCGAGACCCGCCGAGCTCTCCTTGCGCAGGGCGCCCGG